TGAGAGGACTCTGCTGCCGACCTGGCCTCAGCCCTGCGCCGAACCTCTCTGGCAAACACCTCGCTCGCTGCCTCAGCACGATGAATGCCCTCCTCGCTTGGCCCCACAGCGATGGGGGCGGCTGGGGCGGAGGCGGCCCACAGCGCAGCCGCTGGGCGCTTGCGGCTAGGCCCCGCTGCGCCGCCCGCGGCGCCTGCCGCAGCGCCCGTGGCCGCTGCGCTGGTCGCTGCCGCCGCGGCGAAGGCTGCCGCTGACACAGCTGCCGAGCCTCTGCCACGCTGCGCCGTGGGGGCGCCCAACCAGTCGTGGTCCTCGTCCAAGCACGACAGGTTCCACGGGTAGAGGTACGGCTGGAGGTTGACGTTGTCCAGGGCTTCCGTCGGCCAGCAGTCTCGCATCCCAGAATCCGCGATGAAGACCTCGATCTCTGCGGCGAAGCGGGCTGCGTCGCGAGCCCTGGCTAAGCAGCCCTCCAGGAGCTGGACATCGTCGGCTGGAAGGGCGTGGAGGGCAGCTCCTTCCTTCGCTCGCTTGTCGGCTAGGCGGTTGCCGAAAAGCTCGATAGCCGATAGCTCCCCTCTGGCCACAGCTGCTTCTGACCGACGTGCAGGAATGTGCTTGACTTCAACACCTTCCGCGGCGTCCCCAATTCTGGCCCAAAGATGGGCGTAGGTCGAAGTTGGGCCCTGAGCTCTGCCAAGGTTGAGCGCCGAGCCCACTGTGCCCTTGCAGTCGATCAGCAGCTGGTAATTGCCAATGACCTCCGTGAGCGCCACCACCGCTGCGTAGTCCTCTCCAGCACGTGCCGTCTGCGATGGGCATAGACTAGGGGGAACAGCTCCCCACGCCTCTGCTAGGATCGCCCCTTCCTTGGACAGAACGACGACCGACCAGCCAGCGCTGCGCAGGCGCGGGAAGCCGCCAAGGATGCAGGAGCCGTCGGTGAAGACCATGGTACCGTCTTCGACTACAACTGCTTCATGCCAACCATGCGAGAGCCGCTCACATTGAGGCTGCCAGCACGGACGGTGCAACAGCTGGGAGGGATCCACGAACAGGCCCTGGCAGAACAGCTCATCGAACGGCGGGCCCATCTCGTGGACTAACCAAGCTGCACGCTTCAGGTCGGACGGCAGCCTGTCGCGCCGCCAAGGTTCCCAAGCTGGGCACACGTGGTGCCTGTGGAACATCGTTCCTCGCGCAGCCTGGCATAGCTTGCAGATCGGGTCTATGTCCGAGGAGTGCCTCGCAAGACGGTCCTGGGGCCAGTGCGAGAGCGAGACGAGCCAGCGGAGGCACCCTTTGTGGTGCCCAGTCCAGGTATCCGTCTCCTTCTTGCCGAGCAGCTCGTTTACTGGCCTCCACTGTGGCGGCAGCTTCCATGGCCAGAGCGATCCAGGACGAACTCGAGCCTCCTCCAGCGCGGCCGCTTTCCTCGTGGCCTCTCTGGCCCACTCCGCCAGGAAAGCGGGCGAGAAATACAGCACCTCGAACTCCCTCTTGTCCTCGTCCAGCAGCTTGGTGCCGTCGACGGCGAGCTGCCAGCCTATCCTCTGCAGAGTGAGCGTGAGCGCCGCTATCGGCTGACGGACCGAGCTCCAAGGCCGCTGCTTGCTGAGCACCTGCTGGCTTTCATGGATGCACGCTTGGATGGCTGCTGCAGAGGCTTGCCCAGACCACACCACGTTGACGAATGCCTGAACTGCCATTCCCGCTGCGACCACCAGCGGGTCCTGCCGCCAGCCGCGGGGCGCACACTGCAGGGCAAAGCTGAGGGCCGCCCCAGGCGGCAGGCGCCCCGCGCTCTTCGCAGCTGCCACCCTCAGCGCCCTCATGCGCCCAGGTGGGACTCCAGCGATGGCCGAGCCCCAGAGCGCCTTGGCGGTCGGCCCAGCTCGCATCACCCGAGCTTGCCGCAGCCCAGGCCCGAAGATGCGTGTCAGTCCCGCTGCCCGACGGAGTGCATCCAGCTCCCGCTTGACCTGCGTCGCCACCATACGGTGACCACCAGCCGTCGCGTCGCCACCGAGATCACGGTGTCCTTGAGCAAAGGCGGCCCTGTCCAGCGGCCACCCCTCCTGCTTCATCAGCTCGCGCTGGGTGTCCACTGAGGATGCCAGTACCTTCGTCTTGCCCCAGTTGATCGGGAGCCGCTTGTCTCTCAGCATCGCCACGACGCCCTGGACGAAGCTGTTCACCTGACTTACTAGCACCCCTCTGGATCCGATACCATTGCCCGAGATGCCGTCGATCACGTTGACGATCCTCCCGATGGGGAGATTGGCTCGGCTCTTGACAAGAAGGTCCATCAGCATGAGTCTGGCCATCGTTGTTGCACACGAGCATCCAGCTATGACCGTGCCCCTCGCATGTATCTCCTCGCTGACGGCGCTGTCTGCCGTAGCTCGCCTCGGACCCGAGTAAGCCACACAGAGCGCACGTACCAATCCTGTGCAGAAACCATTCAGCTCGGCCGCATTCAGAAGCAGCCCGTGGTCGATCCGCTCGTAGAACTTGCTAATGTCGAAGTACACCGAGACACCTTCGAAGCCGACCTTCCGAGCGAGGCCTAGGTGCAGGTTGTGCAAGTACGCTGCTCGATCGCAGCAGGTGTCAGAGCTGATGCCCCAAATCTCAGGAAGGCGGTGGTCACGCTCCCATTGTAAACAATACTGCCTGCGAATCCTTCCCCAGACTCTGAGCCAAAAGCACATCAGGCCGATGGGGCGATGTCATCCCCCAGGCTTGCCCAAGAAGACGATGAGCGTTGTGAACATCGCCGTCGGTTGCGGGTGCCTTTCCCATTGCGTCAGCACGTCCGCCATGCGCTGCGCAAAAGGCCATCCTAGCATCTTCAGCAGCCTGGGGTGGAAGCCGTCCCAACCGAGCGCCGTCTTCTTCGCGAACGTCTTCGCCGACGCTATCACCTGCTCCGCCGTGATCGGGGGCAGGTCCGACGTGGTGAGCCAGTCAGCAGGCCTCATCTGCTGGCCATCCCCGCAGCTCCACAGGGCCTTCCATTCCACTAGCATCTGATCCAATGCCGCTTGGCCCACCAGTGGCACAGGAGGCGAGTCGCCGCTGCCGTCCGCCAAGATCGGCTTCGCCTCGCCGTGGACCTTCTTGCTAATAGCATGAGCTCCACGGCCTCCTCCCGCCAGCGACTCGCCCACGAACTCCTTCCAGCGGGTCCTAGCTGCGGACGCATCGCCCTTGAGGTGCTTGTCAGTGACCCTGGCGATGGCCTTCATCACCTGCAGCCCTTCCATGGAGCCGCTCCTGACCTCGTGGACTATCGTATCCATCTTGGTGCCGTTGAACATCGGGTTGCCCAAGCTGTCGAACTGAACTGCCAGTGAGAAGATCGCCCGTTCCAGGTGCTTCATGTATAGCGCATGGCCTTTGGCTGGCTCTGAGACCGAAGCTGCTGTCCTGAGTTGCTTGACCAGCCTGCCGAGAGAAAGCCACAACCTCGTCAAAGGGCTTACCTTTCTGGAAGTCTCCGTACGCTGGAGGTCCTTGAGGCTGATCTCTACCCGCTTGAGCCCGTCCGCTCTGCCGCGGTACTTGGGGCCGTCACTGAGACCCAGCAGCCCAATCAGGTGGGTCTCCGCTTTGTCGAAGAACTCGCGCACTGCCTCATCAGGCCCCACGCCTGGGGCGGGCAGGGCCGCCTGCCAGACTATGTCCTGGGCGTCTTCCACCGCCTTCTGCTGGTCCTCGTCTGAGATGTGCGTCGACAGGTCGAATCGCTTGGGGCCTCGCAGTACCCAGACCTTGGCATGGGCCCCCAGCTTGCTGAAAGTAAGACGCACTGGAGCATGGGGGTGTGTAGACGTTGGCCGAAGCACTTCTGCCGTTGGGCTAAGAGCCGCAAGGGAGGCCGATATCACGAAGTAGTCGTATACACGATCGTTCCCCGAGGTCACTGAGCAGGTAGGAAACTTGGGCGCCACGGCTGCCCCGCCCACAGAACGCGGCCACCACGAGCTCTCTAACAGCTGCGGCTCCATGTTCCAGCCAGCTGCCACAATAAAAGGCTCGCACTGAGAGTTGAGGAAGACCTGCAGCTCGCTCAGCAGCTCCACGCTTGTGCCCGTCATCTTGGCGGAGTGCTCCAGGTAGGCACTGACCACGATCACCATCAAGTCCCCGAATACCACCCTGCGAGCGAGAAGCCGCGAGCAGAAAGGACCCCAGTCATGGTCCACGGGTGCTGATCCTCTGTGTGCCGCCACAAGACAGCCAACCCCCGATGACACCGACTGGGCCGAGCTTCCCGTTCTCCTGCATGGGCTGAATGAAGCGTTAAGGCCGTTGCGAGTGCCCCATCCGATGGCCTCGCTCTCCTTCTCCTTCCCCGTGAAGCGCGTCTCCTGGATAAGGTAGACATCGCCCTTCAAGCCAGAGTCCGAGAGGCGCTCAAGCTCCGTCTGCGCCTCCTTCCATGTCGTGCCATTCGAAGAGATGAAGGACGCTGGGCTAGCCACAGGCGGCGCCGCCAGCTTGGCCAAGCAGAGCGTTAGCGGCCCCTCCCTCTGTGGCAAGACGCCCCCCTTGGTGTTCTGCAGCTCTGGGACAGATCGGAGGCCCAGGGTGTCCACCGTGACACTGGGGTTGAGAAAGCTTCTTGAGTCCCAGCTTGGACTGTCTGCAGCACCCACGACCCTCTCGACAGGCGAGGGTCTTGATCCAGCGGGTGGCGACTGAGCCTGGCCCGAGCTCGCGGAGCACTCGGGACCAGGTCTTACCTTGCTCTGGCGTGTTTGTCCCTCTGGCGGCGGCTGAGACAGACTGGTTGCACGGGGTGGTCGCCCACAACGACTCCCTATGAAGCCAAGGGCGGTGTCCAACAGGCTCGCCCCTCCCCGTGCCACCACGCCTTGCGTTCTAACGCCCTGCGATCTAACGCCATCAGGGATGCGTTCTAACTCAACAGTCCGCGAAACCGAAGAGCCCCCCTTTGCTGACCAGGGTGCAACAAGGCTGGCTTGCTCCACGTACAGGTCGTCTTGGCTGGGGCTGGCCCTGCCGCCAGGAGGCTGCTGCGAGGGCGCGTGCGACAGCATGACCAGCTTCGCCGCCAGGTTGTCGACGTAGTCCATCGCCTGGTCGTCAACAGGGTCAGGCCCACGAGTAGGGTCCGACTCCGTTCCCCCACCAGGCCTCTGAGGCGGCACTGGGTCTCCAGGAGCTCTGTCCCCAAGGAGTCGGCGAAACATGGCCCTGATCTGCGCCAGTTGCCGCCAGCGCGCGTGCTCGAGCCGCCACCGATCCGGAGGCTGGGCACTGTTGAGCCTGACCAGAAAGGCAATGCGGCGGGGCTCTGACTGCCTCCAGCCACTGAGGCACAGCTCGTCCAGGATATTGTCCAAGTGCCAGCCTGGGAACCAGCTCCTCAGCAGGCGCCTGAGCGGCTCGTTCCCGCCGTCCGCTAGCATCGCGCCCAGGAAAGCCTTGCACCAGCGCCTCCAGTGCCCGCTGTCTGTCTCCAGCTCCGTGTGCGAGTCAAACCAGGCGGCAGCCCAGTCCCTGAGGTCAGCCCTCATGTCATTGAAGTCCTGGATGGCCTGCCACTCGGGATCTGCAGCATCGGGAGGGAGCCCCATAGCCTCAGGCCTCTGCCCCAAGGGCTCGGGCAGGACTGCCTCGGGCACGGCGCGCAGCTGCTTGCAGCACTGCCTACCGATCAACGTTGCCCCCTTGTCTGGACGGGCCAGGGCAGGGACCCAAAGCCCCCCGACCTGAGGCCAGTCGAGGTCCACGGACTTGTTGCTCCAGAAACTGTCCGCTGGTCGATGAGATCCAGCTGCCTCGGCCAAGGGCGTCCGCCGATCACCCTCAGCCTCTGCGTCAACTGGGTCTGCCCCCTCAGGCAGAGTCCGCCTGAGGGGGCGTCGGGCGACAGATCCTGGCCGCCCTCTGCTCGAAGTTGTCTCTGGATGACTCCTCCTCCTTGGGCGACTGCTTGGCTGCGGAGGGAGGCGACGGCGTCGTCGCGTCGGAGTCCGCTGCCTCGCCGTCCTTGCCTCTCGGAGCTGATCCTGCTGCGGCCGCCCCTGCTGAGCCAGGGTCTTCAGGGCCTGAGCCCTGTCGCCGCCTCTTCCCAGCCAGCCGTAGAGCCATGGCTTCCTGCTCCTCCTTGAAGAGTTTGGCCTTCTCTGCCGCCTGCCCGAACATTTGCGCGACGGCGTTGGACAGTTCGCTCTTGAGGCGGGCGCTGCGATCTGCCAGCTCCTTCTTGTAATTTGCATCCATCTCGTATTCCTCGTCGTCGAACCCAAGACCAGCAAACGAAAGAGGAACTTCCTCGATGGAGCCGTCCAGGATGCCAGTCACACTGATGGGGGCCACTGACGGAGTTGAATCCTGGCTGATGTCGACCACCTGACGATTGAGCTCCACCACCAGCTTGCGGTGCTCAGCCTTCTTCGACTCCATGTCCTCGCAGGGAGATTGGACCCACCGCCTCTGGCTCTCGAGGCCCTCCTCGAGCCGCTCGAAGTGCAAAACCGCCTTCTCCAGCTTCTGCGCGATGTCTTGCACCTGCTTGTGGGCCCGTGTGACTCTCTGCGACAATGGCGGCACGTAGAGCGCCTCCTGCTGGAGTCGTCGCCGTTCTTGAAGGGTGCGCCTGTGCCTCGCGAGGCTGACCGTGTCTCCCAGCTTCTCCAACGTGGCCACCAGCTGCTCCAGCTCGTGGAACTCAAGCTCCACCGAGGGTCCCTCCTGGGCCACCAGAAACTGTGCACCAGGTGCTCGAGGAAGCTTGGCTGGGTCTCCGCCTGCTGCACCCTCTCCACGGCCCCCTTTTCCACCTTTGCCGCCGTCACCTTTGCCCGAGACCTTGCCTTTCTTGCCCTTCTTGCCGCCTTTGCCGTCCTTGCCATCGGCATCCCCGTGCTGTCCTCGCTGCTCGCTCCAGACCCCAGCGGGTTCGGCAGCGACGGCTGGGCTGATGTCCGAGAGCTTATGGCCGCAGGCTTTGCAGAACTTGCTGCCCTTGGAGTTCTTCTTGCAGCCGCACTTGCTGCACCAAGGCCCTCTTCCAGTTTGCCCCACCTGGTGCCAGCCCTCGAGGTCGTCGTCGGAGCCGATGTCGCGCCATGCCTGCCACTGCTGCTTCTGTTGAACTCCCCAGGGTGGGGACACGGACTTGGTCGGCAGCTTCCACCACGGAGGCCGCACGGCCGCTGGAGCAGGAGCCATGGGGCGAGCACCAGGAGGAAGATCCTGGACGTGGTTGCAGGGTACGGTGCTCCTCTCGGGAGCTGCTCCGCCAGGAGCTCACACAAGTATGTCTGCAGCCAACCTGGCCGCAGGATCGCGGGCGGGGGCGCGCCTCCCCCACGCCAGGTGACTTCAAGCCCTTGTGCCAAAACGGTTTGAGCCAAAATGGCTTGAGCCAAAATGGCTACGGAGCGGTGAGGGCATTGGATAAGGAACCAATGGATAAGGAATCCAGGGTCTGGAAGCCAGTAGAGGCCCAGTCGCAGATTGCCCATGGGTCTTACCGCCGCCCTCATCAGACAAGGAATCATCCAGGGTCTGAAGCCTCTTGGGCACATTCCTTAACCAATGCGCTCACCGTAAGCTATCCCCGAAAACACAGAAGACCTCTCAGAAGGTGCGAGGGCTTCTGAGAAGTCCCGCCGCCGTCTGAGAAGGCCTTCTCCTTCTCGTTTCCCCCCCTCGCTCGCCGCCGAAGGTGGGCGCACTCAGGGGGTCATCCGGAACGGCCTCGCCGCCCCCGGGCAGCCCTGCATCGGGCGCGCTTCGTGTGGGCGGCACAGTCAGACGGGGCGGGCCCTCCTCGGAAGGCTCGGGAGGCCTCCAGCCTCGTGGGAAAGGCTCTCCGATCCCTCTCCGAAAACACAAAGAGTGCTTCTCAAGCAGGCAGGAGGGCCTCTGAGAAGCCCCGCCATCTTCTGAGCAGGCCTGCCACCTCTCGCTTCCCCCGCCTGGTGCGCCGCCGACGATGCGCGATGTGCGCCTTGGCCAAGGCAGATCAAACGCGAACGGAAGCTCACGAGCGCGCCTTTTTTGCTCAGACGCGGCTCCGCCGTCACAAGTCGCTTGATGCGATGCACGGGGGAGAGGCCCCCAGGTCCCCCGAGATCCCCACGGAGACATGTTGCCCGAGTACCTCAAACACCTCCGCGTAGCTAACGCGCGAATACGGGCACGGAGGTCGACGTCGAAGAATTAATCCGGCGCATTCGGGTGGTTCCTGTCGTGACGACTTTGACGTCAATTTCTGACACCGCGTGAATCGTTCAGCCTCGAACGACCACGGCTTTCTGGCAAGCAAAGACAGTTCGATATCGGCCGATGCCCTGCCAAAGGCCGCGGTCAACCTTAAACGCGCGCCGTCGCGTCAACACGGAACGAAAATACTGTACGTGTGCAAATGTTGGTGCCCCCCCGGGCACTCCCGCGCCGACCTTCCTGGTCTGATCAGGCTCCGTCTTGTCTCTTCTCTCGTCTCTTGCTCCTCCACTTCGTGCCTGTATTAGCTTCCCGTGCAGCACACCGCTCGATTTGACCGGCGCCTGACCGTCATGCACACCCTGGCGTCTGCGGACGAAAACTAGTGCGCCAGTTGTGGTCGGACCAAGAACGATTCGACGGCGACAGTACCGCCCTGAAGAGGCAGCGCCAGCTGGCACGAAGAGCAACCCTGGATGGGCCAATCCCGAGAGGGGAGAGCTCTCCGTACCGGGCCCCTGCTACATTTGGCCGACTCCCCAACAAAAACGAATCCAAAAAAAATAGCAAATCACTGACAGAAATATGATCAAGAAAACCGCAAACTCACTGACAAAACACCGTCAATAACTGACATTTCACTGCCAGCCGTTCACGCTGGAGGGGCGAACGTGCTCAAGAAACTTGTCCAGCTTTTCGGGGGGAGGTTTCTGAATCAAATGATCGACTGTACACTTCTGCCGCTGTCCACCGCGCAAATGAGGCCCCGCTGCCATGCGGACCCTCGCAGTTGGGCCTTAGATGGAGCTCCCTATGGGGTCACGAAGCGTGTGAGTGAAGTGCCGAAGTGGGCATGCGGAGGGCAGAAGCAGGGATGGGAGGAGGGGGGAGGAGGAGGGAGGAGGAAGGATGTGGGGCGCTGCCGAATCGAAACGAAGACCCCCCTCAACACAGAATGGTCCGGAAAAGTCGGCAGTTCACGGACACTTCTGCCGCAGCCCACCGACCTTCCGCCAGCTTCCGCTGGCGGATCCGCCGCCGTTTTGCCTCCGCCGGCTCCCGCCGGCATGCTGTCAAGGGCGACGTGCACCCAGGTCAGGTCGTGTCCGGAGCACCCTGCACAGGAGTAGGAGGAGGGAGAGGAGGAGGAGGTGGAGGAGGAGGAGGAGAGAGGAAGAGGAGGAGGAGGGAGGGAGGGAGGTGAGATGAGGAGGAGGATGAGAGGAGGAGGAGGCAGGAAGGAGCAGGAGGAGGAGAGGAGAGGGAGGAGGGGAGGAGGAGGGGAGGAGGAGAAGGAGGAGGAGGAGGAGGAGGAGGAGGAGGACCTCCCGGGGTCCAAACGCTCCCGTTCCCGAGAGCCGTGCCCGGCGCGCGATAAGCAAAGTTGAACAGCAGCTGCGCCCCTGTAGCTCACGATGCCGCAAGACGGCGCCGCACGCGCACGGGCACGGCGCTGGTGCCCGTGCGCACCTCCAAGAGATCATCGTGCGCTGCCACGTGCTGTCGCGAGCAGGGGACCCAGGGGAGCAGGCAGAGTTAGGTCGGGCGTGTCCCCCTACAGGCGGCTTGGGGACGAAAAACAAACAAAATCCTCCAAGCATATTCAACAATAGCCCCAAGAGTACTGTACTCCAAAAATCGTCCCCCTATTATGTGTTGACTCTTCTTGAATGTTCCTCCTGTACAGGGACAGGCCCGACTTCGAGGCAGAGGAGGAAGGCAGGCCGCAAGAGCAGCACGAGAAGGGCCCCGCGGCCCCCGATGATACGCCTGTGTTCCACCACGACCACCA